TAATTTTTTATAATTTTATTTCTATCGTGTGTGTATATATATATATATCGAGGAGTAGCTGCGACCGAAGCACTTAATAATATTTTTCTACTTAGGCATGAGGTGACAAAGTTAAATGATTTTACATTTATCAATCACAATACGATAAATAATTAAAAAAGTGAAAATGTTAATCGCCGCGAAACAGTTTCTAGAAAAACCGTATAAGAATGAGTTGGCATAGTTTAAGTAATATTTGTTGGCTGGCAAAAAAAATTGTCACATCTTTCTTAATAAATTTATATATATTTTTTTGGAAAAAACAAACACCCTTTCGTGCTATGTAACGTAATTTATGGGAAAAAAATCTAGCTGCATGACAGCTCATCTAAACACAATTTTTAAAAATTTTGTCTATAACAATTAGATTTTTTTTTTCTTTTCAAAAGTGACATTAGTTGTAAAAATAATTTATCTTTATATATTGAATTAAGAGATAAGATATTATGTCTATTTATTTCATGTTTACCCTACTTATTCTTCTCTAATATTGTTAGATCAGAATTTTAATAGGAGAAAAAAAGAATGAAATAAGCATGAAAATAAATAGGCACGATATCATATTCCTTGAGTTAAAATGTATTTTATTGAAAATGACTTGATTTTTTGCTTTACTCATCTTCAAAGAATAATAAATCTTATTCTTGACTTATATTATTTTAAATTTAAAAATCAAATTTTGTTGAATTAGTAATACACTAATACATATATATTCTTTACAATTTAAAATATTTACTCTTTACAATTTAAAATATTTTCATGTTTGAATAAATATTTTAAAAATGATTTCTATATTAATTATATACCACTCATTATAATTTTGAATACTTTTCAAAAATATTTTATTTTATTTTATTTTATATTGTTTAAAATTTATCCAAATTTGAAAATTATTATGCAATGCAGGAAATATTTACTATTTTATAATAGAAAGAGATCCTTTGACTCCATTGCAACAATAAGAAGTCTTACTCAACGTTCTAGTCATTGATGTTTATATATCTGACTATTGTAATTTATTGAAGATTTGTAATCAATTAATGAATATAATTCAATAAATTATAAAACTCAAATGTACAAAAATCAATAGTTGAGATGTGAAGATTTTTTATTCTTATGCCAAAATCAAAAAATCCTTACCCTTTTATAATAGCTTTGGAGCATGAAAATATCATTTAATTTTAAATCATATGCGTAAATACGTAAATCGTTTAATTAATGTTTTTTCAAAATTACTTAATTCATAATCAACAAAGTGCTATTTTTCGAAAATTATATAAGTATTGAAATCATATTTTTTTTTAAAGAATTAAACTCAATTTACTTACCCAAACATAAAATAATTTATTTACAACTATTGTTTTAAGAACTAAACAATATACTAAACTAATAATAAAAAATTTGGATCGTGATTCAATTAGTTTAAATGTCAAAATTGATGTCATGACTAGATTTAAACCAGACAACATATTAAAGAGTAATTAAATAACCATAAAAAAAATAAAGAGTAATTAAACCGAAACTTAGTTTAAGGTTTGACAAGTTGAACCAAGCCATATCAAGTTCAGTTTTTAAAACATTTCTTATAACCAAAATAAATTACATAAACTGTATAAAATATAAAGTATAAATGAATTTGTAATTAGTGATGTATAAATAACTCAATTTGACAATTAGTAAATGATATTAAGTAGGGTTCTACTCTATGGATATTTTTAATATGCTACAGGACCACAATTTATTTGGTGGTCCTTAATTTTCTTTCATTTATACCTCTGTCTTCCTTCTAAATTTTATCCCAATCTTTTTTTTTCTCCTATTTTTGTAAAGGGAGCACAAGCTCCCGGACCACTAAAAACGAGCTCTACACATTATACAGGGAGGTATATAAATAGGGATAGGATATTGTGACTACCTTTTTTATGCCTACATTACCTACCGACCTCCAACACCCTTAGATTGAAATCTCAAGATGAGAGAGAAATAGTAAAGGTTAATTAATTTAATGGTGTTGAAAAAGAGTAGGCAGAGTAGACATGAAAAAAGACCGGTAGACTAACTTATCATATATATATGATCCACTTGTATCCAATGGCTCATATTACTAAAAAATTTGAGCCCTTAGATATAAGTGGGTTCAGCAAATAAAATTGAGAGTTCAACTTACATTGGAGTAAAATGATCCTGACCCATTTTTATGAAAAAGTATTTTTACAACTACTTTAGATAATATTATCTACAACTATCCATTTTTAACTAAGTTTGACCAGTAAGACATAGTTATAACAATAAAGCTGCTCTCTCTTTTTTTCTCTCCTCAAACATTGTCAGCTGATGTAGCGGAGAGAGAAAATACAATTTTTGTGTCTTACCGGTCATACTTAGTTTAAAAAAGGTAGTTATGGACTACCTTAGCTAAAGTGGATATGAGAAAGAGAGAGAGATATCATAGAATTGTATCCTTTTAAGTGAGAGAAAGAGATACACAATGAAAATCATGAAGGAAGAACATGGGTATTTTTTAATTTAAATTTAAATAAAAAATTATTTTTAACTAAAATGACTATCCTTTAAAAGGATAAATATTTTTATCATACATATATATATATATAGGGGCAAGTTATTCTTACATCAGTGTAAGAATAAGAAGTCAAACACTAAATCTTGATCATTAATTTGCTTGTATCTAATGGCTCACATATTAGATAAATCAGAGTTGTTAGATATGAATAAAATGGAACAGTGACCTAAATGCCACACTTTCCCAATTTTTTTCTCAAATGTCACGCAAACAGTACTTTTTATCACACTGCTACTCGTCCAAGTATGCTATCAGTTATAGCGAACTTGGTTAGGCCACGTAGCACGTTCCCATTAGCATACCAAGTTCGCTACCAGTCGTAACGAACTTCGTCGCTTATCATTTCGTGACACGTGCACACTTTACAAGAAAAAAGCTGACTGAACTAAGTTTGCTATGACCGGTAACAAACTTGGTATGCTAATGAAAACGTGCCACGTGGCCTAACCAACCGAGAGATAAACAGAAATCAATAGTTACGATTTGATGTAAGACTTATTAGTCTTACATCGGTGTAAGATGATCCTTCCCTATATATATAGATATATATGAGAAAATTATTTTTCAAGTCACTTGAGCTAACTTTATCTCCGGTCACTCCAAAACTATGTCGTTTTGGAAATTAGGAAAATTAATGAAAGATGTTTTGTTATTTTTGTATGTTTATTTTTTTGGAAAAAGTGTTTGTCATTTTAAATGACACAACTTGTGTCCTTTCACTCTCACAAAGATGTAGGACCCACACATTTATTTTTTTTTTGTCCACTCTCTCTCCCCCTTTATCTATCTCTTTCTCTCGCTTAATATGACACAACTTTACATCCTTTAAAATGATACACATTTTTTTCTTATTTATTATATAAATTTTACCTACGCATCATTTATTAATTCTCCTAACACCCAAAACGACATAGTTTTGGGGTGACAAGATATTGATAACTATTGAGAAACTATATATATATATATATATATATATATATATATATATATATATATATATATATATATATATATATATATATGAGTTTTATAAGAGTTATGTTGTAGGAAAAGTGATTGTGTAATGTTATAGAGATTCGTTTTACGTGCCGTAGTTTTTTTCTTTTTTCTTGAAAAAGTGTGGGCCCCACAAAATGTTGTATGTGTAAGAAACTTTGTTGTGTCATGTTAAATGACAAATACAAATTCCTATATATATATATATATATATATATATATGGGGCAGGATATTCTTACACCGATGTAAGAATTAGAAGTCTTACACTCAATCTTGACCATTGATCCACTTGTATCCAATGACTCACGTTACTAAAAATTGTGAGCCCTTAGATATAAGTGGGATTAACGGAAAAGATTAAGAGTGTAACTTACACTGGTGTAAAATGATCCTGATCCTATATATATATATATATATATATATATATATATATATGAGGGGGGATATTTTGACTACCAAAAGTGTCTACTACCACCTTACTACCTATCAAATCACCATTGGATCAAAGAGAGAGAATGTTAAAAAGTTTTTGAAGAGAGAGAAAATGTTAATCTAATGGTGATTAGATAGGTAGTAAGGTGGTAGTGGAAATTTTTGGTAGTCAAAATATCATCCCTATATATATATATATATATATATATATATATATATATAGACACCCCATACGTTTAATAACTTTTTTTTTTTCTGTATCAACACGTTTTCATCTAGAAATAATCCACTCGTCCCATACTTTATGGACAGTTAACCATGTCATTTTCTTGACTGCTTCATGTTCATCATAATCTCACCTTAAAATCCTCGAATTCCACGTGTCATTCTCTAGAACTCCCACTACATCTTCAATCCAACGTTTCATGCATGGTTCTCCCTCAAAACACGACCAGAATCAAAACCGTAACTTTCATTCCTATCTTCTCTTTTTTTTCTTTTCTTTTCCTCCAAAACATGATTCAAACTAACACCTCCAATTACAACATCATGCATGTTCTGAATTGAAGCTTTGAAGCTATAACCAACTTTTTTTGTTTTTTTTCCCCCTCTCTTTTGCTACCACATTTGTTCATTTTTCTTCATTGCGTTATTATTCAAATCCAATTCAACAACAACAACAACAAAAATCACCATCATCATCGTGATCCTGATTTAGCTTCACCTATATTTGGCAACACGTTCTCCAAACCTTTTTTTTTTTTTTTTTTGCCTTCTGCATATTTCTCATAACGAACAAAGACTTCCATTGTTTTTCTTCTTTTTCTTCTTTCTTTTTTTTTTCTCTCCTTTCTTATAACATTTTTTAGGAAGAAAAAGAAGAAAAGCAGGGTTGAGAAGAAGGAGGAGCTCTTGATAGAAAAAGGGTGTTTTGAAAACTTGAAAAAAAAAATGGCTACAGAGGCATATATTTTGAAGGAAACTGCATTGTTATCTCTGAGAGCGTTGAAGAGCATGTTCATGTTGATGTATGCGGTTGTTATGTTGTTGTTGTTGCCGTTCAGAGGGCGGAGGAGAGTTTCTCCACCGGAGAAACCCAGTGGCAGCAAGGAAGAGAAGCTGCAGCATCATGAGTGCCACCGGAAAGGGTCGGTGGTGCGACTGCCGGCGAAGATTGTGCCGTGGAAGAGTAGCATTAGTGCTAATGGTGGTGGTGGTGGTGTTGTGATGGCAATGAAGGCGGTGGATCAGGCGACGGTGGCGGAGGCGAGGAGGGAGTTGGCAATAAGGAGAGTGGTGGATGATGATGACCCAAGATGTGTGAGGGAGTATTGGCTTTTTGGAACAAGAAGGGGTGACACCATTTTCACCCAGTGTTGGACTCCTGTTTCTGTTAAGATCAGGTAGGTGCAATTGTGGATTCTTCAATGATAATTTCATAGTTAATAAGAGCAATGTTATTTGGTATATATAAATGGAATGAGAAATAGTTGTTTTATGATTACATGTGTGTTTTCCTAAAAATGTTTCATATTTTGCAGCATTTAATTTCCTTATAACAATAATCAATGCTTGATCACTTGATTGTTCTTTTTTGATTTCTGGAGTTTTAAGTTTCTGTTTTTCTTTTTTTTTTTTTCTTTTTTTTGGGAAGTTAAGGTTTTTCACATGTATTCATATTAGTTAATAGTGATATATCTTTGGTGTCTTTAGATGTTTAATGTTGATTTTGAATCTTGTGCCTTGTTGAATATTTATTTCCTGAAAACAAATGATTCAATTATAGCATAACATGCACAATTTCTACCTCTTGCACTTAAAATGTTGTTTTATGTTTTTAAGGACCTTAACATTTGACCTCCTAATTACACAGCTTACCCAATTATTCCTTCTGTTTTTTTCCCCTTAATTAATACTTTGTTTTCTTTCTGATAGAATTTGAACAGCTAATATGTTACTTACTTTGTGCAGGGGAATCGTTCTTCTTATGCATGGACTTAATGAACACAGGTTTGTAATTTTAGGCAATTTCTAGTTGCGAAGCCATTCAGTTTTTATAGTACTTATTCCCTTCCTGAAACCATTCCCATTATTCTCTGACAGTGGTAGATATAGTGATTTTGCGAAGCAGCTGAATGCTGATGGCTACAAGGTTTATGGGATGGATTGGATTGGTAAGTATGAACCAAAATAATGAATTGTGAGGAATGGTAGTAGCTATTCCACTTATGATTCATGAACCATGTCATTGTCCATGTACCAACATGAGAAAGATTGTATGAATTTTAATGACATACTTTGCATTCTGCACCATCTTGTTATTAACATTGTTGGCTAATTCCACTTTGCAGAAATCATGATTAGTATATATCTATCCTAAATGATTTATTTATTACCCATATATGCATTTTAGCATTTAGCTATTCCCAATTATCCTGATTTTTCATGCATAATCTTAATACGGAATCTGTACATGAAGTTATGCCATAGTTTTTAGTATGAAATTGTGAAGAGAATTTTCTTTTGAAAATTTTTATGTCATCCTTTGTATATATGATACTTCCATTGGATTATGGAAGACAGTGATAACTTCTGCTTTTGTTTATTAGTCTAGTGATCACCTTTCTTCAACATGCATCTATATTTGGATGTTGCAGGGCTAAGTTATTTGGATGCCTATTTGTGCGATAAAGTAACATTGTGAAGCTCCTGTTTATAAGTAAGCTTATTATCTGTGTGTATTGTGTCAGAAGCATGTGCATGATGTTTTTCTTACTGTTTTGAAGGAACAACAGACTGTGACTCAATTGACCCACCTAGGTGTAACTCCAAGAGCAGAAACACATGCCATTGATTGTGCATATTATGTTACCAAGTGTTTTTCTCTCTTTTTTTTATTCTAAAAATTGGGTGAAGATCTGATTTTAAATTAATACAAAGTACTTGCTTAAACTTTACTTATTCAGTTTTTCACTGTTGAAGTTAAATACCTTTTCTTCATGGATTAAAGCAAATTTAAGTTCCAAATTTAGCAATTTATTATTAAGATGATGATAGTTTCAGGAAAGAATGGATGCCTGTTCCATGAGGCCACATCCTGCCTATAAATCTGTCATGAAAACTTAAATGCTTTGTTTTTCTAATCTAATAGATTGTGTTAGTCTTTTTTGCCTCCTCCATTTTCAATATTAGTTAAAACCTGATGTTTGTCTTTTGTTTACTCTTCCTTAGGCCATGGTGGAAGTGATGGTCTTCATGGATATGTCCATTCTCTTGATGATGCTGTTTCTGATATGGTATGTTCTAGAATCTACAAGAATTTTGTAGAATATTGTATAAATAAAAGGGGCTGTGATGAAGTATGAATCTTTATAGACTTCATTGCTGTTTGAATTATCTTTATTCTGATAAATAATATTTTTATTCTTGATAAACAGAAAGTATTTCTTGAGAAGATTGTCACTGAAAATCTTGGGCTTCCATGTTTTTGCTTTGGACACTCAACAGGTGCAGCCATTACTCTTAAGGTATGGTCCGTATAAAATAAGATTCTTGAACTTATATATGATAAAAAAAAAACCTTTTGATCATAATAATGGGAGAAAGGAAATATTTTATCGCATTGATTCAAAATTTAAATATTTTATCAAAATAATACAATGAGATGCGCACGAAAGATATGCACATTCAAATCGTGCATGAGGTGATACGTGACTTGTGCAAAAGTGAATATATATCATGCGTATCTCGAAGCGCACAACACCTGGCAAGCGCGAGCTTACTTTTGCACGAGTCATACATCACTTCATTCGCGATTTGAACGCACACTTCTCCTTACGCATCTTATTGCATTATAATGTTTGAATTTTGAATCAATGAGTAAAATATTTCCTTTTCCACACTAAAAGGGGTCAAAAGGAAGGTCAAGAACCTATTGAATATAAAACTGATTCAGCTTTTCACTGCTATATATATATAAATATATTATAGGCACTGCTTGACCCAAATGTTGAAGATTGCGTAGTTGGTGCTGCATTCACATCACCTGCAGTTAGAGTTGAACCTTCTCATCCAATTTTGTTGGTGAGCATGCCCTCTTGCCATCTTCATTTCACATCATAATGTATAAAACATGGCATAGTTGCATGCATATACATCAATCAGTAGAACCATTCTTCATCTCAATGCTTTCTTCATTTACAGGTACTAGCTCCTATAGTTTCATTTTTGCTACCAACATGTCCATGTAGTTCTGCATATAAGAAGGGTTTACCAGTTTCTCGAGACCCAGATGCTCTAATTGCTAAGTATTCAGATCCACTAGTATGTACTGGACCTCTTAGAGTAAGAACTGGACATGAGATTCTTCGAATCACAAGCTACTTGCAGCAAAATCTCAGAAAATTGAGAGTTCCATTACTTGTTCTACATGGCACTGCTGATTCTGTTACTGATCCTAATGCTTCTCAAAAATTGTATGAAGAAGCTTCCTCAACTGACAAAACTATCAAATTGTATGAAGGACTCTTGCATGACCTTCTCTTTGAACCTGAACGAGAGGCTATCACACAGGACATAATTCAATGGCTGAATAATAGAGTATGAGTTTAGTTAGAGCACTGAGAAAAAAATGTATATATCATGGAATTTTCAACCAAAGAAAAACTGAGAAAGCGGCACTTAAGTGATTAATTTCATGGATTGTAGAGACCAAAAAACTTGAAGCCTTATAAAATTGACTCATGAAAACCATATAATCTGTTTCATTTATTTAAAATATTAGTTAGGCAAATATTTTCTTATTATTCTCAATTATTGGTATCTTTCTTTTCTTTTGTTTTTGGGTGGAAGCATTTGATATTCTCACTAATTTTATACTTTACTTTTACATAATGTAAAGATTTTCAAACCAGTACATGGATGAAGAAGCAATACCTCTTTAATAGCAAGCATAATTACGGTATCCATTGAATTATATCTTTAATAAAACGTGTATACTATGTAGGAATTAAGTGAAATTTCATATATAATCATAAAACATTAAATATATATCATAATAGGTTATGTATCTGTTTAATCATGATTATCTTAGGTAAGTTCCTTGAAAGATAAGGTCTATTTTTTTATTAGGAGAGAAAAGAGACCTATCTTGTATAGTTAAAATGTATCCAATAAATACTGTCATCTGTGAACATGAACTACACACTATCACAAAGAACATGGTTCAATATAATGGCCGAATAGTAGAATATTAGGTAGAGGCGTGAGGAAAGATACCAATGGAATTTTTCAACCAAAAAAAAGGTTGAAAAAGCATCCCTTATCTTATTGATTAACTTCATGGAATGAATGCTGCAAATGAAGGGAAAGAAACTTGAGCCATACAAAACCGAGGCATATTTCTACATTGAAATCCTGAAAACCATGTACTATGTTTCACTTCTCCAAAACAATTGTTAGGCACAGATTTGCTTATTATTCTCAATTGTTGTTGGGAAAAGTATTTCTCCGTACGGAGATAAAATTATCTCCACTGAGCTCAAAACGACGTTGTTTTGGGTTATAAAATTAAAAAATTATAATGACAAAAACTAATATAACCCTGCAATATATTATAATTATTAAAACACATTGATTTTCGCCTCAAAACGACGTTGTTTAGAGCTCACTAGAGATAATTTTATCTTTGGTGACGCGAGAAATCCTTTACCCATTGTTGTTCTTTTCTTTTTTCTTTTTTTATTATTTGTGATAAGCGGCTGATATCCTCACTATTTTTATACAATGTAAAGATTTTCGAACTTGTAGCTGCATGAAGGAGTAATATCCCTCTCGTTTTTGCAAGAAATACTTACAAATGAGCACATGACACTGCATATAATTAGTGTTAATTCAATTTATATGGACAATGAAATTAATTATACAAATCTTAAGTTGAATAGCATATTGCATGATTTAATCTCTTTTTTTCATAACTTTATGATTTTCTCATTTTAAAATATAAATTTATCATGAATAGTCATTATATAATCCTGCATAATCATTATATAACATTTTGACATAAAGCAGTCACATTTTTTTGTATTCACAACAGAACGCATATTTCATAAATTACTTACTAATTTGGATAATATATGAAAAGGACTTGCGACATAAATAAGCAAGCGTTTAAAAATGTAATAAAAAGCATAGTTATTAAAATCGGACCGACCCGGCCGGGTCGACCCGGGAGGTAAACCGGTCAGATAACCAGTCTGGTTGAAGCAACGGACCGGCTATGCATCAGAACCGGTGCGACCCGGTCCGACTCGGCCGGTTTTCATAAAAACCGGTGACCCGGTCCAGTCTCCAAAAAAAAAATTCCAAATTTTTAATTTTTTCAAAAAAAATCATAATAATCATATTTGAATTTTTTTTTGCTTATTGACTTGCATAAGTTATGTACCTACAACACTAATATTATCTCAATTATGTACTATGCATAAAAGTTTGAACTAATTTATATTTAGAGATGTCGTTTTATGAACCTAAAGCCTCGTATCACGATCATTATATTTTTGTTTGATTTTTTATTTAATAAAAATATGTGATTCATTATTTTTTGTATTAAAATATTTGAAATTTTTATTAATTTTTTTTAGATATTTGAGTATGTTTATAATTTTTTAATATAAATTATAAAATTACATATAATTACTGAGTCATGCGATTGAACCAGTGACCTGATACCTCGACCGAGTCAATGACCGGGCGATTTTAATAACATTGATAAAAAGTATTTGACATGCTCTCCTAATACGTAATCAAATTGATATTTTAAGTTACATATCAAACTAACAGTGTCTAGTGAGAATATTTAAATATTATATAAATATTAAAAGTAAAAACTATTTAGCCACTGTTTACCAGAAAAACAAAGCACCCGCCCAAGTTTCCAAGTTTGTTGCTTCATTAACCTATTCTTTAGGAAATGGACTTTATTTATTCAAATGTCAATTCACGATCATTTCATTCAAACATGGTGAACCTAACATTTACATCATCACTAACATGGTGTATAAATAATCAAGTTTCTTTCTTAAAATAAAAATATTATTATGCAATACCTAAATAGCAAACTCAGCAATCTAGCACAGATGTAAAATGGTGTAAAAAAGTAACACCTAACCAAATTACACACAAGGGCTACTAATTTATCTGTAAGGATTTGATGGTGATAACGAACGATAAACAAATAAGCGAACATCAAACTTGAAGACAAACATTTCATTCTTAGTGAAAACCAGATTCACTGTCACTATATACAGATCAATGTGTGATAAATATTTCGGCTACAGTTGTACAAATAAATTGGTCAGTACCAACAGCATACGAACTTTCCCTTGGGGTGCATGGGCGAGAGCAGAATTCAGTTTAAGACAAAATGATAGCTTGAGTCAACATAGCTCTCAACATCCCAGAGAAAAGAACCAAAAGTTACAGCCTCTAAAACAAGTCTCTTCAAACCACCAAAGCTGATTTTGATGTTTTCATCCTTCAAAGAATCGAATGCCCCATCCGGTGTTATAACAATTTCAGGTCTTCCAAACAATGCTTCTGTGTGCTTCTCAATGATGCTGACAGCCTCTTTGGATCTTATTGTTGCATACCTCTGTAGTGTCTCACCATCAAAGGACATCACATAGGCGCGCAACCTAGACACCTTTGTCCCGTGACCAAAGCCCCCCGAACTCATGCCACCAACAGGCCAACCGGAGACTTCAGGATGGGACATTACTTGAGAAGGGACCTCTCCACCACTGATTCCTGTATCGTCTACAACAGTTTGCTGAATGCTATTTGTTTCTGCTGCATTAGGAAGAGTTTTCATTGTCTTCTCCAGCTGGAACCTTTGCACAACGCGCTTAAGAAAGTACCCATACATTATTGACGCTGCATAGACTTGTCCTACCCTGAGTTTGCTGATCTGAGCTACAGCTGCTAAATCCCCTAATCGATTACCCAGAATGAGAGCCAAGTGGTTTTGGATCATCTCATTGGCTTCAGGCAAGTGAAGTTCCTCAAGTTTCCCATCTTCACTTGGCCAAGAATCAACTCGACCAGAAGGGTTTGGGGTTATGGAGGGTACCAGAGAAATATTGGCATCCATAAATTTCTGCACCACCAAAGCATACAATATCTCCTCTAGAGCTCTTCTCCTTTCATTAGCCTTAACCTCAGCAATTCTCCTGGGAAATTTTGGAAGCCATACAATGGTCAACACCTCACTTTTTTTTTGGGGTGTTTAAAAACACCTCAGGTCATCATAAGTACAAATCACTTCCTCATAGAAAACAGCAACAAACAATTCCATTCATGAATACTCTTGTCTTTTCGGATAAAAATCATTGATGAATCCTGAATTTTTTTTCATTTAATAGCATAATTTTTTGCTGGATTCAAACTAAACACAGTCAAATCCACAAATACATCAATGCAATACAGCACAGCTACTTCAAAAGTACATTCAATTCTTTAGAAGAAGCAAATTAAATTCATTGATTTTATCATTGTGCCTTTCATGAGACCAGAGGCAGACAGTATTTCATCCATTGTAGTTGTTGATTGTTCATATTTGAAATGTACATGAAATGCAAACTTTACACAAGAAATAAAAGTGAATATCTTTTCTACACAATGCCTGATTTTCTAAATTCATTTCTTGCATTAAATCTTAATGAAAACATCCCCCCTCCCCTTCACCAAAATAATTTTAATCTAACTAAAAACATGAACCTATCAATCTTCAACTTAGCACAAGTTCCAAAAAAGTTCCAGAATTGCATAGAGAAAACATTCTATCACTTAAAACTTAAAATCTATACATAAAAGCATGGATTGCACAATTTTTTGACTTAAAAGGAAAAAATACCCTTATGTATAACAATAATTACCACGTGCCACACACATAACACGTGTCTAAAATAATAATTTTCAGTAACACTAACTGATGTGAACTTATTTTTCAAACTATCTATCTATATTGATATTAATCCTATATGTCAAAGCATGGATTGCCAAAACTTTTGCTTAGTAAAAAATATTCTTATTTTACATTTCCATATTATTGACATAGCTTTTTTATAAGGATTTTTAAAGTTCAATATTGTAATATATAACTTTACCTCATTCTCCGTCAATTAAAAATATTTTTTAGGTTTACTAGTAGGTTTCAAACATGAAATGATATGCTAAATTTCTACCCATTATGATATTATTTTCATTGAGGTTTCCAAATTACAATGAAGTCTATGGAGGTATAGTTTACAATTACAACTAAATGTACACAAAAGCAACTTGAAATAATATTAAAAATGTACAAAAAAATATTAAACCCCACATGCAAGGCATAGCAGTTGTCATATTTCACACCCAGGGACTTAATCTGATCAAAATAAAGCATAACTTCTCCAAAGGAAAGACACAAACAACAAAGATTCCCCCATCAAACTCCTAACCATGAATACTTGACAATGACAAAGTTAAGCAAACCAAGTAAATTTCCTTTGAGATATCTGCTTATCTAGTAAGTAAAATGAAGCATCAATCAATTAAGGGGCCCCAATCCACTGCATGAGAAGGGAAGTATATATTTCCGTATACCGAATAACTTTTATCTAAATTTTACTAATAAGCAAGAAACTGACTTCCCAGGTTTATCAGCAATAGAGCAATGACATGGTGACAAAGTGGAATATCAGATATCATCAAGGATAAACCAAACCTGTACAAAACTAAATCAGTGCCTGAAGCAGAAGGTTCTTCCTTTTGTTTATCACCATCACGATCAGTTTGGAATTGCTCAAGCTGTTGCTCTACAGCAGCAGGCACAAGATGCGGGTGACTTATCAAAATCTGAGACAGAAACTGCCCAATTGGAGATTCCAGCTGAAGTGGAGCAATCTTGGAACTTGATCCAGATGACTCTGGAGATGACGATGCAGCTCTAACTACAAAATCCCTTCTACTTTTGACAAAGAGTCTCCCATGACTTTGCTTGGGGATAGATACAGAAGTGCGTAGCTTCCAACCACCAAGCACAATCAGAAAGTATATAACTAATCCCTCAAACTTCATGCAAGTAAAAAACAAAAAACAAAAAAATAGCTAATTCTTTGAAAGCACAATGAACATCAACATCATAGTTCGGGCAAGCCAACAACTCCAGACAAATGACAAGGCACTATAACAGAAGTCATCACAAGTTCCCAACCAAGCAAGAATATCTCCAAGTATCTATAGTGAAAGACTCAAATTAAACATCAATGACCAACCATTTTTATTAAACCCTTTTTAGAGATGTACTACAAAACCACAGTACAATAAAACATGTTAAAACTAAAACAACAAATCATTAGACAACATACTCATAAGAAAAGGTAATATCCCATATCCCATTCTGAGTGGAACAAGGAAATCAAGCAAAATGAAGCTGTTACAAGCTATTTGCAACCCGAACACATCAAACTCAAGCTCATCTTAATCCAATACACCATGTGTTAAAGAGCAAAGCCACTGAACAAGCATTGGCAACGACAACCATACCAGAAAGAAATGATTTCAATTCAACAGAAGTTCATCAAACTCGCTATTCTCACCAACAATATCAACCAGAAATCAGAATCAAAACTAAAAAAAAAAAAATTGAAACAGCGATTTGATACCTTACTGGAGATCTGAAAATTGGAACGGAATGCCAAAACGGTGGACCTTCCGAGGAAAATCGACGGCTTGCATGGACCGGCGGATGATGGGAAGACAGTTGCCGTTGCCGTCGCCGCCGCCGCTGCTTCCATTCGTAGCTGTGGGAAGGCAATAAGCGCTGAATGAACCAAAAAAAGAGAGGAACAAATGCACAACAAAAACGAATCAAAATGAACCATGAAGCATACCTCTGAGCAAGTAGCAAAGATGGAAGGATAAAACCCTAGAGAGAGAGAGAGAGAGGAACTGAGAGAGAGAAGATGAAGTGGTGTTATAGTTACAGAGTTACAGGAACAAGAGAAGAGAAATCCATATCTATAATTTTAGAAATTATTATTATTATTATTATTATTATTTTAGTTTCGTGGAGTGTAAATGCGAATATGCTATTGGAACTGCTATTTTGTTGTTTTAAGTTTTGACTTCTATTTTGTGGTTTCCTATCACTTTGCTTCTATATTGACAAGTTTTTCTTTTTTTCTTTTTTGAAAAATTCATGTTCCGAGCATGAAATCTTATATGATTTTTTTTTGTTAACATTTTAAGATAAATATAATAACACAAGAATAAAAAAATCTTCAATATTCCTCTAGTACTGAACATTCATTATACCCTTTATTACATTTGAAAAATAATAATATGATTGACTTTTGTCGTATCACCTACCTTTTTATGATTATTTTTAGGATTTTATTAATCTCATGTTAAAGGAGATAAGTTATCTCATGTCATAGAGATAAATTTGTGAGTTTCACCATCTGAAAAAAAAAAAAAAAAAAAAGGTGGCACATATTATCGAAGGGTGTGTAAGAGAGAAAGTTATCACATCTCACATAAAAGTAATTTTTCCCTTATTTTTACTTGAGTCACATCTTTTCATATTTTTAATAAATGAGTATACAGGATCAATTAAACAGACATACTATGCAAGTTCATACACATATGCTCCATTGAAAGCTTGGCGCTTAAAACTAACCAAGATGGTAAAATACTAGCAGGGGGAATGGAGTAAAACATTGTCTCCTCCCCCTTGAGCTTAAATCCCAAACTAGCTAATGAATCAGCACACACATTGTGGTCTCTTGGGATATACTCCAGCTGCACCTTATCTACCTTCTGGAGAAATTTCCTGATCTTGCTAATAAGAGAGGAATAGCCACTGTATTCAGCATCCTTGTCTACACAAAGCAAAGCATCTTTGTTGTCACTTCCAATCCATAACTCATTGAGTTCTAAGTCTCCTGCCAATTTGAGACCATGATACAGTCCCCATAATTCAGCTTCCAAAACTGTGCAGCTACCTATATTATATGAAAATCCACATATCCACTCTCCATTTGATGAGCATATGAGACCACCACAGCTGCCTATACCAGAAAACAAATTATGTGCACCATCAACATAGATTCTGGTTCTACCCTGGTTCCTCGACTGCCTACTGTCATCAGAGTTTTGATGCTTGTCCAGGTCATGGCAGATTGGGACAGGGATACCAACTCTTTTCATACCAGCCAAGTAAATCAAAATTGTATGCACAGGGTCTTGTGGCATCTCAAAGAAATTCTCATGAACAGTAGAGTTTCTCCAATGCCAGAGAAACCAACAAGTCACAAAAAAAAATCTCCTTCCAGGTTTGCCAATGCTTACTCGAAAAAGAATGGAGAATACTAAATCTAAACCAGTCAATTCCTTCAGCATTTAAAATTCAAGAGGAATATTACCTGAAAACCATCTCTCCCAAGTCTGCCTAGCCACTCTGCAATCCCTTAACACATGCATGACTATTTCCTGACCAGTAACACACACATGGCATAGAACATCCCCCTCATACCACTGTCCAATCATGGATCTGACAGGAAGCTTCCCTAAGCAAGCAAGCCACATGAATGTTGCAATTCTATATGGTCCCCTCCATTTTCAAATAGCTTCCCAAACCCTATCCTTTCCTACATGAGCTTCAGTATTGTGACAGTAAGCATTCTTTACAAAGGACATGCTTGGGCTACTCCATCTCCATTTCAATCTATCATCAGAACAGTCCTCTGCTGGAGGGACAATGGCTTTCGATTTAATAATGTTGGGGGTCATCAAGCCACTCACAGAGGCAACTCCAGTTCCAATCTCCCGTAGAGAGGTCAACCAACTCATACACTTTTAAGGGCAGCCAAGAGTCAGGAGGTTTGTTGACAGCCTGTTCAAACAGAGTACTCTTCCATCCTCCCCACAAGTCAGTCCAGAAACAGACTTCTTTCCCATTGTCAACCACACATTCAAGATGCTTAAACAGACTGTCCTTAGCTTTACAAATGTTTTTCCAAAGAGGGGAGTCAACAGCTTTTGACAGTATAATATCCCAGAAAAATAATAGTAATTTATAATACAATAAATTAATAATAGTAATAAATTATAAATTAGTAATAATAATAATGGGTGATAAATTGTTATTATTTGATTGATCATTATGCTTTAATGTTTGATTATTTGATTGGTAATGTTTGATTGGATTAGGATGAGTCAACAAACATAAATTGTTTAGATATGATGACTCAACAAACATAAATTGTTTAGATATGATGAGTCAGCATTGAGTCAGTAATGTATAAGCCCTAAACTTCAACTATAAATAGAGACCTAGCCTAACCAAACCAATTCACTCTCCTCTACTACTCTCTTTCTCTTCTCACTCCAAAAAGTTTATTTTAATTATTTTCAATCTTTATATTTTTTTATCAACCGGTTCTCTGCCCCAAATTACTCTTTTTTTTCTAAAAGTTAGCGAAAACGGAGACCAAGTAATCTTAATCCCTAGGTATTTTTAGATTATATTTATTTTATGTGAAATTTGGTATGTGTAATCCTAATCCTTAGAAGTCTTAGGTTAATTTTATATGAATTTTGATAGGATAATTATGATCCTAAATATATATCATAGTTACACTTTGTTGCAAATTTCTTTTGATTTCTGTGCAATTCTTTAATTGAATTCGAATTATACTTATCGTTGCTTTTATACATGATATAGTTCACAAAACAAAAACAAACAAAAAAATCTCCTTTCTCGATTTTTGTGCGTCACTTTCAATTGAATTAGATGTATGTTCACCATCTACCATCCGAATCGTTTCTTTCAAGTTACATATATTGCAATTCTACTTTTCGATTTATATGATGAACATATTTCAAATACATTAGTTATATGAATTTAGTTTCAATTGTTTTTTTATATTCTATGCTTTACTTTATAAATTGAGGCACTAATATATATATATGTTTTGGTAAATTGGAAATTAATTGTTTGCTGCAGAAAATAGATATTACATATATTTGAAATAAATTGGGAAATTTTGTTATGTCTGTATAAAATAATAATAATAATAATAATAATAATAATAGTGGGAGGATAGCTTTGGGATGGTACCTCCCAAAGTGATGAACACAATTTTTGGGCTTTATGCCTCCGATGTGAAACTGATGTGAAAAAGATTATATCCGTTCTTCCCAAAGTGGTGTCTGGCAGGGTTTCCCAGGATACTAGTAGCAACTTTGGGAAGAGGTGTGCACACTAGGAAGATGTGAATTGATTATGGCCAAAGTGATTTGTTTGTGACTGGCAGGGTTTCCCGGGTCACAGGGTAGACTGGCAGGGTTCCCCGGGTCTACCATGGTTCTCTTCCCACTAAATAGACTAAATGGATTAAATAAATATTAATATAATTAATAACAAGTTGACATTTGATTCGAATTTTTGAGTTATATTATTTTTATTGGATTATCATGAGTTACATTCTTTTTGTTTATTTATTTATTTATTTATTTTTGTATATCGGATTTGGATTAACAGCTTTGCTGACTTTTGTGTTTGTTTAACTGCAATGATCCTTCACGGGGGAGCAGATTTTCAGTGAAGCATGTTGCAAAGGATGGGGCTAGCTGTGGGCAGCGAGGATCACGACTCGGATATTATATTTCTAGCTAGTTTCTAAGTTTAGAAATTTTATGAGATTTAAATAAATGCATAAGACATATTTCCTTTATTTAAACTTTAGTCTTTGGTTTTATTTTTAATGTAATAAATTTAGCCTTGCACCTGTCCATAGTACAAGTGCGGCGGTAACACTTTCCAAATTTGATTATTTTGAACTTCCGCTGTTATTTACAAAAATTATTGAAATTATTTATGCTATTATCAATTGTTAGAATTTGGGGTGTTACAAAATGGTATCAGAGCAGAGCCTCTCATCCAGTACGGTGTGGTTCGAGGACGAACCAGGCGGAAGCTGGTGGGCATGTAACATCCCGGGCGCTGACGAGGGCGGGGAGTGATCGCCGGTGCGAAAGGGCATGGACAAGGAGCGGCTCCTGGCAGGCTTCTAGGGACGGGGGTACATGAATGAATCGAATCCACACCCGAAAGAGAGGGATTCCAGAGACTGTGCTGGTATGGGACGGTATAGTTGGGAATGACTTATAAGAATTAATTGGTACTACCTATACTAACAAGATGCATCTACTTTTCGGTAGCCCGAAACGGAAGAACTCCACAGTTAAGCGTGCTTGACTTGGAGCAATTCTGGGATGGGTGACCTCCTGGGAAGTTTTCCCGGGAAGTGTGCGAGTGAAGACAAAGCACGCTGAAAAGTCTCGTGTTAGTGTGTGGGGACAGTCGTTAATCCTTGCAAGTTGCCAGGCGTTACAAGTGGTATCAGAGCCCTGAGTTTAACTTGGGTTCACTTTTGATACTAACTCAAGGGATCAAAGATCCCAGAGTTAAATAAATAAATAAGAACATAAATAATAAAAATAAATTTAAATAAAATAAAATAAAATAATATAAAAAATAAAATTAAAATTAAACGTGAGAGATGGGTAGTGAATGGTTATTTTCTTGTCCTTTAAATAAGATTTATTTGAAATTCTAATAATTGCATGTTTGAAATTATTTTGTGACTTGTTATGTGATTTATTGACTTGTAAATTTTATTTTAGCAAATGAATAGAATTTTCTACAGGCTAAAAGGGTTTCTTCTAGATGTGATTTTTTTTCTTTCTTTGAAGAATGATGAATGATGAAATTCTTATTATTTATTTATTTAAATAAATTGGTTTATTGTTTGAATTGCATTATCTGATACATAATACAAATATATGAGATGAGGAAAGTGATAGTTAGAGTTGACTATGAGAATAAATTCAAACCCTTAGAATTTAAAAACCGTCGTAACACTAGAATGGCTGCAAACAACGCTGTTGCTGAAGAAATGGACCGACATCTGAGGGCTATTGAAGATCTTGCTTTAGCACT